GCCTCTTCCAAGCCAATGCCCCTTCACCGATTGTCCTGTAAACCATCCGTGGAGTGGAGCAAATCCAGTGTGGTCTACTGGCAGCAGGGAGCGGTCCCTGCACTGCTTGCCCATCACATCTCTGCTGGTCATGGGCTCCCCTGCAATGCTGCATTCAGCTCTGGAGTCCCCAACATCAGAAGGACATGGAGCTGCTGGAGCGGGTCCAGAGGAGGCCACAAAGATGATCCGAGGGCTGGAGCACCTCTGCTCTGGAGACAGGCTGGGGGGCTGAGAGAGTTGGGGCTGTTCAGCCTGGAGAAGAGAAGGCTCCGGGGTGATTTTATTGCAGCCTTCCAGTGCCTAAAGGGGCTACAGGAAAGCTGGAGAGGGGCTTTGGACAAGGGTGTGTAGTGACAGGACAAGGGGCAATGGCTTTAAACTGAAAGAGGGCAGATTTTGATGAGATAGAAGGAAGAAATTCTTCCCTCTGAGGGTGCTGAGGCACTGGCACAGGTTGCCCAGAGAAGCTGTGGCTGCCTCATCCCTGGAAGTGTTCCAGGCCAGGTTGGATGAGGCTTTGAGCAACCTGGTGTAGTGGAGGGTGTCCCTGCCCATGGCAGGGGGGTTGGAACTAGGTGATCTTTGAGGTCCCTTCCACCCCAAACCATTCTGTGATTCTGTGTTTGGAGGCTGACAAGGTAATAAGGGTTTGCTGTCAGGACATATAGCCTTACCTACGGGTAAGGGTAACCTCATCTCTGGGTCCTTGACCTATGGGTCAAGACATAGCTCCACTCTCATGTTCCCGAGGGAGCACACCATGACAAGGCACAGTTTTCTCTGAGCCTGGAGAAACACACACCCATTGCGAAGGGGTTTTTTGGTTGCACCATGTTCTAGGCTTGTAGGATCTGCTCCTCGGGCTGAAGAACCAGGAAAAACCCAAAGAGCAGCTTGTGGAAATGAGTCTTTATTATAAATATTTGCTCTGCTTTGCACATCCTGGCAGGGCAGTGGTGGCAGGGGGGACTTGGGGGCTGGCTGCCCAAAGCCGTTGTGACCCCTGGTCCCGCCAGGGTACGGGCTGGCTCCACCTGCAGCACTGGCATCCACCACCATGGGAGAAGTGCCACAAGCACCGTCTGCTTCTTCCAGAGACGGAAGGACCGGATGGGCAATTTGGTCGGCGGATGGCAGAAGGAGGATTTTACTTTTTCCTTCGAAGCTTTTTCATGGCTTTCTTCACCCAGGACATCTTGGGGTCGGCGCAGATCTCGGACCCATGGCCAGCCACAATCCTGCAGCAAGAAAGTGAGGAAAGAGAGTGAAAACGTGAACCATGAACCATTCCCTTCCCGTGTGCTACCTCTCTCCTCCCTGCATGCAGCCCCACCCTCGATGGAGGCTTGGGAATGATCTCCATCAGCCCATGCCCTCCTTGGGCAGGGCTGGTGGTCCATGACTGAGGCTTCCCAGACCACTGACATCAGCAAAAAAGCACCAAAACCTGCTTTTTTTCCCCCTTCTGCCCATCCCACAGAGCTACTCTCCCACCGCAGCCCCTCCCAGGCACGTGGTCCCCACTGGGACGGGGGGAGCTGCTCAAGGTGCCAACCGCGACGCCGTGGCGGGGGCAAACCCCGGGGGTACTCACACGACCGCGGGCATGGAGCATTCGCGGGGCGTCTCGTAGAAACTCTGCATCTGTCGGATGGGTTTCTGCGCGTACTTGAAGCAGCATTCGGTGGGCGTGAAGTGGGCTGGGGAGGGGAGGGAGAGACGTCGTCAACGCCCTTGGAAGAGTTTCGCAACTAATTGCGTCGCCAGACAACGACCCCGCCGGGTGTGTAACGGGAGGGAGGCCGTGGAGCTTCTCTGCAGCTCCCACAGCTGGGATCCGCTTCCCTTCGTGGCAGCAAGCCCAGGGCTG